TGTTTAGCCTATCTTATCTGGGATATTCTATTCTCCAATTCTAAATGATATCCTGCTGGTTAAAGTAATCTTCTTGTAGGTTTTAGTTTTTCATCACATTGATTGTTGTGCGTCAATCTTTTTTTGCCTGCAGAATTCCTGGTAAGATAATCAGCTGAAAGTCTTACGGTGGGGGCATGACTCCCTTGTACATAACTGACTGCTTTTCTCTTGCTATGTTTAAGATTTTTCTCTTTTTAGTCTTTAGCATTTTAATTATGATATGTCTTGATGTGGGCCTCTTTGGATTTATCTTGTTTGAAACTCTGTACTTACTGAATTTGTATGTATATTTCCTTTTCCAGATTAGTGGAGATTTCCATTATTTCTTCCAACAGGTTTCCGATCCGTTTTTTCCTGTATTCTCCTTTTGCAACTCTTATGGTATGAATATTGGTGGCCTTAATGTTGTCCCAGAGGTCCCTTCAACTATCCTCATTTTTTAAAATTATTTTTTCCTTTTTTGCTATACTGATTGGGTGTTTTTTACTACATTGTCTTCCATATCACTGCTTTAACCTGATGTTGATTCCCTCCAGTGTATTCTTTCGTAGTTACTGTATTCTTTATTTCTGATTGGTTCTTGTTTCAGTTTTCCATCTTTCTTTTTATGTTTCTGTATCTATGCTGAAGTTTTCCCTGAGTTCATCTGTTTTTCTCTTTAAGTTCATTGTAAATTGTTATAACCAATGCTTTGAACTCGTTTCATTTAGTTCTTCTGGAGTTTTGCCCTGCTCTTTTACTTGGGGCGTACTTTTTTGTCTCATTTGACTGGCCTCTGTGTGTGTTGCTGTGTATGAGGTAGATAAGCTATGTCCCCTGGTCTTGGCAGAGCGGCCATATGGAGAAAGTGTCCTCTTGGGCAGAGTTCTGCAGTCTTTCTGGTCACCTGAGCTGGTTGCTCCAGGGGTTTCCCTGTGGGTTGGGTGTGCCCTCCGGTTGTAGTTGCTGCTACACCACCACCATTTATTGGTTTTGACCATCTCTGGCTGACTATGAGGGCTGGATGTGACTATAGCAGACAAGTTGTTAACCCCACAGGTGGGATTGTTGCTTTAGCAGAACTGTGGTGCCAGCCGAGGCTGCTCTTTGGTGTACCATTTGTGGAACTGGTTAGGTGGCACTCTGGTGTGGTCTAAAGCCATCTACCACGTTTGTTGGGGCTGGAACTTCTTGGAAGGGATTCTGGTGCAAGGCCAAGTTGAGGCACCACTTGTGCTAGGCTCGATGACTCTTGTTAGGAGCTGTAAGGTGATCTGGAGTTGTGGTTGGTTTATCGATTGTGTTGGGCTTGAAGATGCGTGGGAGAGGCTATACTGCAAACTGAGGCTGCCTGCCACATGGGCCTGCCTTGTGGCCTTTTAATTGGAATTACATTACAGGCCAAGACTGGCTTCCGCTTATCCCAGGCTTGGGACCACCTGATGGGAGTTAGAAAGTAAGTTGAGGCCGATGTCTCCTGGTACCGGGCTTGGGGCCACTTGGGAAAAGCTACAATGGACACCAAGGTCCCAGCTGCTGCTTGTTTGGGGTTTACGGAGCTTTGGGGAAGTTTGCAGGGAAGCCTAGAACAGCCATCACTTGTGTGAGGTTTGAAGATTTGGGGAAAAGTCTACAGTGCAATCCAAGGCAGGCTTCTTAGGTAGAGGAGCCGCCTGGAGAGGCAGAGGCTTGGCGAGCAAGTTGGGTGGGGTCTTAGGCAGTGATCAGGACGAGGGAACAATGTTAGTCAGTTTTATGGGAAGGTTTGGTGTCCGCATATGCAGAACTGGTTGGGTGAGAGATCAACCGAGGACCAATGGTGCCTGCCAGTGCTTCCATCCCTCCTGTGAGTTGTCCTGACCCCTGCCACTCCAGCCCTCTCTGAAGTTAAATGCAGCTCCTCCCGGTATGTTTCTGAACTGTTCTGAGTTGCCGTCCCTTCTGTGAGTGAATCTGTGCATGGTCCCTTTAAGAGTAAGTAATGCCTAGTATCTAGCAGCCCTTTGTCTTTGATCACATCCCAGCTGGTTTTCACAACCAGATATTATAGGGACTCCTCTTCCTGGCACTGGATGCCCAGGTCTTAGAGTCCAGTGTGGGGCTGTGACTCCTCGCTCCTCAGGTTGGACCTCCACAGCCGACTTATCCCTTCCATTTCATAACTGCCCCACTGTGGGTTTGGGACCTGCCCGGTCCAAGTATATGCCCTTCCTACAGTCTTCATGTAGCTGCCTCTTTAAATCGTTAATTATGACAGTTCTGTTCAGCTACACTTGAAGTGGTTCTCAATGGTTGTTCTATAACTTAGTTGTAATTTTGGTGTGATCTTGGGAGGAGACAAGTTCAGAGTTGACCTACTCTGCCAACTTGACTGTAGGTTATTTTTCTTTTTTTCTGTTTGCTAGTTCATTGGGTGATTTCCATTTCATTGTCTTTCAGCTCACAGACTCATTTTTTATTTTTTTCATCAACTAATTGCTCTTGATTCCCTCTAGTGTAATTTTCATTTTATTTAATGTTCAATTCTAATTGGTTTTATTTTATATCTTCTGTTTCTTTGCTGATGTTCTCACTGAGTTAATCTATTCCAAATTTGGTGGGTATCCTTAGTGTTTTTTAAGTCTTTATCTAATGGACAGCTTTTCCCCATTTTCATTTAATTCTAATTCTGGTTTTTTGTTTAGAACATGTTTTTTGTCTTAATTTGGTTCTTTCTCTTTGTTTCTATGAGTTAGACAAAACAGCAACCTCCCCCCGTCTTGAAGGCATAGGTTGGTGTCTTCCGTAGGGCAGCTGGCATTAGAGCATGCAGGTGCTGCAGGGCAAGCATGTTGAACTCAAAGGCTTACACGGGCCAAATAAACAAGGTTGAAGTTTATGTGGGCCACACACACACAAAAAAACACCTTCAGTTTTCATAGAAACGTGGGTTTCTTTCGATAGAGACATAATAGAACATTTTAATAAAAACCAATGTTTTCTGAATAACTACACAAATTAATAAGCGTAACGCAAATAAACCTACTTTCCTTGTCCTCCAAAAGCAAAATGTTTCCTGTGCACACACCAAACAAGTCGGTATGAGACTAATGACGTGGCCATCGGCTGCTGGTATTGGTGGAGAGAAAGGTGCGCCTGCGCGTAAGGCGCGTAAGGGAATTGAGTGCAGCACCATTATAGTACTCAGTCATTAGCAAACGTCGTCGTTTGTTACTAATTCTGTGTAACAGGACGTGTAAAAGTTTTATTAAAATGTTTCTTACAGACCATTATATTGGCTGGGCCAGAAAGTATAGGTTGTGGGCCACGTGCAGCGAGTTTGACGTGCTCGCTGTAGGAGATGAGGGTGAAGCTGCACCAGGTTGCCTTGCCAGTTGGCTGGAGTTACCTCTGGAATTCCCACAGCTCCAGGGGAGTCTCAGAGCAAGCCACACACACTCCTCAGACTTACGAGGCACCTGCTCAGGGGCTGTGGGAGTCCCAGAGGCAGTTCACACTGGGGCTGGAGCTTTCGTTGTAGAGGCCCAGGGGTCCCACCAGGACTGCTTTGGCTGGCCGGTTGGAGCTGGAGCTGGCATGGTCTGTGCACGTTCCAGGGACTAGCCATACTAGAGTGGGAACTACATGAGAGCACGTGTGAGCCCCGGGGAAGTTTCAGGGAACAGTGCTGGGTCACCTGTCAGGCCAGCTGGAAGCACGGTAGCTGAGGCAGGCCACTGGGAGACCTGTGGACAAGCTTAGGAGACGGTCTGACAGGCTTGGCCAGCCTTGCTGGAGGGCCTGGATCACAGTCCGACCATGTATTTCTTAGTCCGTACCAATAGTCCTCTTCCACATAACAGGCCCAAATCCAGTCTCTTGTACTCTCCTTCCTGCCCAGCCTCAGTCAATATCAGCTTGACCTTCCGCGTGTTTAAGGCAAAATCAGTCATCCTGACCTTTTCCCCCTCATAGTCCACATCCAGCGCCTGCTATCCTATTGGTGCCGCCATTTAACTGTAGTATGTCCCACTTGGCCCCACTTGCACTGCTACCACTGTTTACCTCTCTCACAGGAGCCTCTCAACTGGTGTCTCCACTTCCATTCTTGTCCCTATAGTCCAGGCGTCCTCAAACTTTTTAAAGTGGGGGCCAGATCACGGTCCCTCAGAGAGCTTGAGGGCCGGACTATATGAACTACTAATTCCTACTGTAACACCTCGGCTGCGCTCACTGCCCAAAAAACCTGGCGGGCCGGATCAGACTCCTCTGCGGGCCGCATGTGGCCTGCGGACCGCAGTTTGAAGACCCCTGCCAGTGTAGTCTGTTTTCAGAGTTGTGGCTACAGGAACCTGATCAAAACAGTGTCTCTGCTGGGAAATAGTGATCTCTCATTTCACCCAGAGTAAAAATGGGCTTAAAATGGCCAGGGACTCTGTAAGATCTGGCTTCCCATTTCTTTTCTGGTTTCATTTCCTGCAACACTGCTTGCTTGTTCCTGGCACAGTGGTCTCCTCAGACACACCAAGCACCTGTCACATCCTCTGTACCCCACCATCTCCTCCACCCTGTGGTGGCCTCCGCCTGCCTGAAGTGCTCTGTTCCAGGTAATTCTCATCACTGCCTGGGTCATCACCTGTATGTTTTGTGACCATCATACCTAACATTGCGTATCAACTCTATTCTCTGTCATTCCCTTCCTTCCTCTTTCCTTCTAACCTCCCTCCTCCTGTATGCCCCCCGACTACAGATAGAATCTGCAACTTTCTGTTGTACGGGACAATGCTCCAACCAGTTGAGTACCCAGCAGGGTTACTGTTTCATTCAATGGTACCATCCAACATACACATTCTGTTGTGGTCTAGATTGAGGGCAGAGTTTTTGAATTATGATTACTGCTGTATTTCTAGTGTATGAAATAATGCTTGGTACATAGACGCTAGTCAGTAAACACAGAATTTTTATTGTATTATGAAAGAAATTTTAATCTTGCTCTTCAGGTTTATCTCTAACAAGTATTTGGTGAAACGGCAGAGCAGAGACTACGATGTGGAGTGGGGCTACGCCTTTGATGTGCACCTGAATGCTTTCTATCCTCTCCTAGTCATTCTGCACTTCATCCAGCTGTTCTTCATCAACCGTAAGTAGCAGTTACTTCTCAAAATAGTTTGTAAAAGTCCTCATAGCATAGTGTGCAATGAAGAGAGTCATTGTCTGTATCTCTTTGGCAGATGTCATCCTAACAGACACATTTATTGGATATTTGGTTGGAAATACTTTCTGGTTGATTGCTATTGGCTATTACATCTATATAACCTTCCTGGGTTACAGTGGTAAGTAACTCATTTTTTTGGTTGACTGAAAACATAACAGAGGGGGAATCTGTAAGAGTAATACGATTAGCTTACTTTTATGGAGCCTTTGTAGGCACTGTCTCAAGAACGTTATATGAATTATGTCACTTAATCTTTATAATTATATAATAGTAGAGGCCTGATGCACAATATTTGTGCAAGGAACTCGGCCCAGCTGCGGTAGCTTACCTCGACCCTCCCAGCCCCGGTTTGTCCTATAGGTCGCCCAGACGTCCAGTCTAATTAGCATATTATGCTTTTATTAATTATAGGTTTACGTAGCCCCGTTTTTCAAATGAGGAAACACAGCACAGAGAGATTAAGTTGACATGTCACACATCTCAAAAGTGGCATAGTTGGTGTGTAACTTTATCATTTCAGGGAACCATGTCAAACCATATTGGTTCTCCACGTTACCTAGAGAAACCATGCCCAGTTTCCTTTTTCTCCAGCTTTCAGGTTTGAGTTACCAGTGGTAGATTAGAGAGGAGAAGGCCGGTCAGATGAATGGGCATATGAACTTGAGTGCCTCGTTCTGCATTTCTATAATCATTACTAGAGGCCCAATGCACGCAATTCTTGCAGAGAGTAGGCCTTCACAGCTGCCCCAGTCCCTCCCTCACAGCCAGGGTGGCTGCCTCGATCCCGCAGCCGCAGCCCCAGCTTCGTCTGGAAGGTCGTCCAGCTGTTCAGTCTAAGTAGCACATTATGCTTTCATTATTATAGATATGGTCTCTAGATGATTCCAGAAAATAAGGCCCAACTTCTGATACAAGTATATGTTTGCAAATATTGTTAAGTCCTATCAGTTCATTTTTCTTAATATGAGGAAATATTTATGTTGGTCTTCCTTTAAGACATGATCTCCATTAAAGAGCCAAATACCTCAAATTATAATACCTTGTTTGAGGTAATGGTAATCCTTTCTCCAGTTCAGGGGAGAGGCCTGTCTTATTGTGATTAGCATGCTGCAACATTGTGGCTTCTAACTGGATTTAAAAATACTAATAAAAGGGTAATATGCAAATTAAACATCACATCATCACAAAGATGGCAGTGTCCATAGCAGCCAGGGGGCTGGATGCTGGCAGTGTCACCCTGGCCACCAGCCCCAGCTTCCCATGTGCCCTGGCCCGCAGAGGGGTGACGGGGGAGTGGGTGGGCTTCTGGCCAGAGGCCGGCTGGGGCATAGGATGCTGGCAGCATTGCAGGCCAGGCTGAGGGCTCCCTGCCCCTCCTCACGCCCCCACCCTGTGCACGAATTTTGTGCTGCACTGGGCCTCTAGTATATATATTGATTTCACAGAGGAGAGGAGAGGGAGAAACATCAATGGAGAGAGAATCATTGATTGGCTGCCTCATGAACACCCCACTAGAGATGGAAGCCACAACTGGGCATGTGCCCTGACCAGGAATAGAACTGACCTCCTGGTTCATAGGCTGCCGCTCAACCACTGAGCCATGCCAGCTAGGCTCTGGTTTAGAACAGCTTCCTGAGCTCAGGTCAGTTAGTGCGGGGCGTCCTGTGTGAGGTGTGTAGGTAAGGGTGCATGGCGTAGGGAGAGCAGGAAGCATCATGGATGTTGGGCACAGACTTGTTTCGTCAGCTCTTTCCTGAGGCTCGGTGTGCTAGTGGAGACCGCACCTTCCCAGTGGAAGAGTAACTCTCTCTTACCTTGGAAAATAAAGTAGCTGGAGGTTGTGTTTTTTCTATCATATCTACCTCTGGTACTTTAAGATGGACTCTTAGAGGTTTCTGAAGTTGTCAGAAGTTTAAACTCACCACCAATTTCATTAATATTTGTGATGTTTGTCCAGCATTCTCGATCTTAGTCCTGGACTTGCTTCTCGCTCAGCCTTTGTGCTAAAGTAACTCCTCTGAGTTTCTTCCCAGCGTGAGGAAGGAGGCAACACAGAACACAGTGAGATCTAGGATGGTTCTGGCTTCATAGCTCTGTGTTGCCTGAAATAGTGTCCCTCTTTGGCCCATGTTGTAGTGAAGAGCTGTCTGCCAGGATGTTCATTTATTAGTCACATTTCCTTATTTTAAAAATGAATTTGGATTTGCTTCTTTTCCAGCATTGCCATTTTTGAAAAATACAGTAATTCTTCTCTACCCATTTGCACCTCTCGTTCTGCTCTACGGGCTGTCACTAGCACTAGGATGGAACTTCACCCACACACTGTGTTCCTTCTACAAATACAGAGTGAAGTGAAAAAAGTGAGACTGTACATCTTAACTGTGTCAACAGTATTGGTGAAGAGATTTCTTAGGAAACTTGTAAATAAACTCTTATTGTAGATATCTTGGTGTAAAGTTTGTGAATTTGAGGAAATATATGTTAGCACTATTGTCATACATTCCTTAAAACGAATTAAATGTACATTTCTATAATAAATATTTTTAAACTAAAGCATGTATTTTTTATTCTAATACTTGCACATAAAATTATATACAAAGTATTAAAGGCATGAGGAAATTAGGTAAAACTTTTCAGTGTGACTCCTTCTTCAAAGAGCTTCTGTTTGAAGAACATCATAACATGCTCCCCTTTCCCCTGTTACAAGGTACTTAACTCAGCCTCCATATACTGTACTGGCTGTATTACACGTATTGGCTGTAATACTCCATGGGCTGCGTTTTAAACATTTATGCAGGGTGTAGGGTGTGTATCTTAGTCTAACCTTCAGGCCCTAAATATCTTTAAGAGCATTTTCTCCGCTAAAAAAGCACACACTTCTCGAGTGAAGAGGCCCGTGGTGGCCGCTCCTCATTGGAGCTGTACAGACACACAGTGCATGAGTGTCTGCATCATACAGAACCACCACCGTTTTCTAAAACCCACAGAGGATCCACTGCTGTCTTCTAATTGAAAACAGTTCAAATCTATTATTATATCAGTGTTACAACCAATAAAATTTGCTTCATGAAGTCTTACCTTTTTTTTTATTAGAGGGAATCTTGGATTCAGCATGGATTTTTAAACATCTTTATTTCAAATACACATGATCGGTGTGGCACAAACAGGGATGAAAGGCACAGTCAACAGGACCAGTTATTAAGTTATAGCAGCAAATTTGAAAATAATCTTCCTTTGAAAATTTAAGAGGTACCTAAAATATTACTACAGGTATTACCCATTCAACCAATGACGACATTGTAAGGAATATGTACAATACGTTAAGGAGACTACAACTTGGGAAACAGTTCCTCAGGCAGCTTCTCCAAGGGGAACGTCCAGAAACATCCCGATGCGAACACCTTTCCCAGCAGTGTCCTCGGTGAGAAAACACTTCGTTTCTCATTCCATAATGAAGCATGATTATGTTTAATCAGCTGACTTCTAAATCTCCTAAAAAACACTACTGTCTATACTTAAATGAAGAGTATCAAATCTGCTGGCAGTGCATCTTACAGTACTGGCGATATCACCATTTTTAAGGCTCAGAAAATGTATTCAAAAGATGTTTTCATCCCATTTCAGCAAACACAGCATTACAAATAAATTGTGAAATGCTAATCACACGAGTACCGAACCTCTGATTCCAAGGCAGTTTGCTAGCTACTAAATCAGGAAGTGCTAGCAGCAGGGGACACGTGCAATAGCTTCCTGACATCTGAGGACTCCCCACAACAAACAGCCTAATTACACACAGACTACATTTTTACTGCGACAGGAACAACACTGGGAATAGCACAAAGTACAGTTCATTCAACACTCAGTTTATTTTCCTGAATGGTGTCTCATAAATTCTGAACTCATACACTGGGGAGTGCCAGGTTCTTACCCGTCCCTTTGAAAATGACCTCGTTAGTGCCCACACTGGAGAGGGGACTGGTTCCAGTGAGAAGGGTTTATATATAGAGATTGATGTTACAGACACAGTAACAAATCCTCTTTTTTGAAAAATATACAGTGGAAAAGAGTCTTGTCAGTATGGTATATCCACATGCATTAAAGAAACATGCTAAGATTAATTAAAATTTACAACAAACTAACTTCTACACTATAGACTGCTACATAGTTTGGAAAAGTTTTCTATAAAAGAAAGAGATGTGATATGTAAGTTCCCTCAAAACACTAAGATATGTTTATGACCCCAATTTCTGACCTCTGACAGTGTTAGCCTCTCATTTTCCCCCCTTTTATTTTACTTACATCAAAGGTAAGTATAGCATTATACTAAAAATAAGCACAAAAATTAATGGACAAACAAAAATAAACTTCACTCGCAATTAACAGCTTGGAAGTAGAGATATTTTGGAACATATTTGCCAAGTACAAAAATTTGGTTGGCACTATAGGATTTGATCTGTGCTTAGTAAGTTTTGGTTTAAAAAAAAAAAAGTACTTCAATACAAAGTAGATTGATCATATGCTCTCTACATAAAGGCAGAAGGATTTTTCCTCCTAATTTAGTATCTTATTTAAAATACTACTGTTCATTATTCTTAAATAACACACTGACAGGCTCAGCAGAGTAAATCGGCATAAGGTAATACTTTTTCTAGGAGAAAGATTCCTTATACACTGCTGGATTCCTTTGACTCCCAGCAGTTCCTTTAGAAGCACTACTAAAATGCTGTTAAGTTTTTGTCAACAAATTTCCAATGAAGCAGAGCTCTGGCATAGAAATCCCAGATGAGGCCCAGGAGTAGGATTTCCTCATGCATTTGCCAGGAACCACCACTATACTAGAGGGAATCTGTATGAAGATTTTCCCTCTTCACCTTTTACTCATTGCTACCTAACACATCACCACAAATTGAGAAACTCATTTCGTATCTCAGAAATCCAGGGAGGCTGGACTGAGTGCTCAGCTCAGGGTCTCGGGCTGGAGTCAAGGTGTGGACAGGCGGGCTCTTCTCTGCTGGAGGACCCACCTGCCCACGTGGTCCGGCTGCTGGCTGTGCCCACTCCCTGGGCCATGCCGGTCCCTTCCCCTCGCTGCCAGCCAGGCCTCTCAGCTTAAGGCTACGTGCTTTTCTCCTTAGGTGGCTTCCATCTTAAACCAGCAAATGACGCCTCCTCCTGTTTGGAATCTCTGACTTCATTAGCCTGAGAAAACTGCTTACGGAGTTCACGTGATAAATAATGTGATTAACAATGACACCTGATTACTGAATGGTGCAACCATTGCTTTGAAAAGCCACACCTTTGTTCAAAGACATCTCTAATGGCTGAGTTAATGTACATGTTCTTATCTGTAACAGACGTGTCTGTGTGCTAAATAACCCACTGCATTCTCTTTTGCCAAAGCTTTTCAATCTCACCGCTTCACACCATTGCTCTTTCTGTCCACAGAGTATGGTACAGGACATGCTGTAAAGAACACTGAGGAGGAGGACAAAGAACACAGGCATCTTGGCTCTCAGAATGCTAGAAATAGGTCCTCCACCCCTTACCCACAATAACCATTTGCACTGTGATATATTCTGCATGTCTACTTTTAACCTAATTAACAAAACTCATCATTCTGGTTTCTACATGTTCCTATTAGTGAGCTCAACTCAGTGCTGGGCAGCAGGTTTCTGCAGGGCAGGAAATGTCCGGTGCCCGTGCTGCCCCCCACGGGGCACCTGCCACAGGTGGCTCCTGCGCCGTCCCTGGAGCCAGGTGAGGGGGGAGCGAACGGCTTATTGGTTTAAGGAACCACCATGTGTCTAGCGGCCATTACTTAGAGTGACTGGTTATGTGAAATACACACCAGATGCCAAATCCATGCCTTACTTATTTGTAGAAGTACTCTTTCACTAAAGTGGTTCCGTGTCCTCTCAAGGTCAGTAGTTTACTTTCAGTTCCAGGACTCTTCACCTCTGATTTGTCCCAACCCCTCACTCATCAACACAACTCCTACGCCTCCACTATCACTTCCTGCTTGAGGAAAGCATGGCTGCTCTGTCCAGCTTAGTGCTCGGGGAAAGGAGAGCGCAACTAAAAATGAGACCAGGCGCAGCCGGCATGGCTTAGTGGTTGAGTGTTGACCTATGAACCAGAAGGTTCAATGCTGGTCAGGGCACATGACTGTTGTGGGTTCGATCCCGTGTGGGGCTTGCAGGAAGCAGTTGATCAATGATTCTCATCACTGATGTTTCTTTCTCCCTCCCTATCCCTCTCCCTTCCTATCTGAAATCAATAAAAACAAAAATGAGCCTAGGAGCACCTGCTGCCGCAGAGCACATGTAACAAGTTTCAGGATTGCCCTCAGGAGCTTGAATTTGGTCAGAGAAACACATGCACACACATATACATGCCCCATAAACAATCCAAACCTCCAGAGCTGAGTGAGCATGTAAATGTGTGGCAAGGGCAGTAGGTGCAGGGAGTTGAGAAGGAAGGGGCTGAAACAGCTGGTCCCTCATCCAGAAGCTGCCTGCGCACCTGCCGTGTGCCAGGCACTACTAGGCACTGCTGACGACTCAGGGAGGGGCACCAGAGAGGCCTGGGAAGCCGGACAGGAGGGATGAGCTAGTCCTGGAGGACAGTGAGCAGGAAAAGGCTCCGTCTGAAGGCTGAGACGTCTGCATAGGGCAGGGTAACAGGAAGTGCCCCTCGGGACCTCCAGAGGCTTTTCCCTGCGATCGGAGTTGGCTTCTCGGAAGCGGGGAACGAGGGGACTTCTAACTGGCCCTCTGGATGTTCACCTGGTAATCTGCTCAGCAGTATGGTAAGCTAGTGCCAAATTTTATAATAAAATATTATTTTCAAATGAAATCTGCCTGTAAGAAGTCAATAGTAAGATTTTTTAAATGTAAGACACAAAAAAATGTTAACTGTAGTTTGACATAAAAATCATTGGGAACATGTGACTTTTAAATAAAGAAAAGCGAACATTATCCAAATGCGGAGCCATGGACACTACTCACCAGCGCCTCCCAACCTCTGCCGCCTCAGACTGCAGGCTCCCTGGCTCAGGCGCCAGTGCCTCCTGTGAGAGCTCGGAGCCACCCCCCCAGCCGTCACCTGTTGGGAACTGATGTTGGTAATTCAGAAAATCTTAAAAATAAAATACCCTTGTAAAGACCACTGATTGATAAGGCTGGTAAAATTTTTGTTATAGTATGTTATAGTATGTTTCAGAATTTGGGACTGCATGTTTAAGAATAATACGCTTTAGATATGAATTTACTTGTAAGTTCTAATACAATAGGAAAAATCATTTTGGAAAAACATACAACTGCTACAATATCTTTCATCAAAAACCAGTATCACAATTTTGGTTTTCTTTAATATTAAAGCAGTTATGACACACAACAGCATTATCTAGAAAACATTTTGTCAAAACTCATGATTGCAGGTATATAAGGATCAATAAGAAAAGAGAGAATGGAGTGAGTGAAATCCATGGCGATTTGGGTTGAAGGCATCATCCCTGCACATTGAAACTTATCAGACTGATTTTCTGTGGCTACACACCACACACAATATAGTAAAACAAGCCTCAAAAAGGACACTGGCTTACAAATCTTGGCTTTAAGGAATGACTAATGCCTTTGAAATATTTTGCTCAAGATCAGCAATTACAGTAGTCCCCTCCTTATCCACAGGGGATATGTTCCAAGATCCCCAGGGAATGTCTGAAGCCACGGCTAGTACCAAACCCTATATATGTATGTAATGTTTTTTCCTGTACATCCGTACCTATGATAAAATTTACAAATTAGGCACAGGAGGAGGTTCAAAATAACTAATAAAAGAACAATCATAACAACAGGCTGTAATGAGAGTTGTGTGACTGTGGTCCATCTCTGTCTTATTTGCTGTACTCGCCCTCCTTCTTGTGAGGCACGATGACACGATGCCGTTGTGACGGCGTGAGGGGAGGTGCAGGACGGACACGGGTGACCCCGTCCTGGTGGCCGGAGGGGCCGGGTGAGACTGCATCACCCCCTCAGAACGGCGCACCATTTAACACCTATGAATTATTTATTTCCGGAACTTTTCATTTAATATTTCTGGACCACAGCTGACTATGGGAACTGAAACTGTGGAAAGCCAAACTGCAGGTGCTACTGTCAGAAAGTACTTCTGTTAGGAAATCAGCCTAGAATCACTCTGAAATGGCAGTGAATTTGAAAAATGGCATTAACTTATGTTTGCATTTCCGAAGGAAAATACAGAAAGAACTTAAAAAAGCAAAGTAATTGTATTTCAAAAAAAGTATTGATTCAAAAATTTACTGCACAAA